ATTGTGCACTTTAAATGTATTTATTTATTAGTCAATTTATATATTTCCGCTTTTATTTTTAATTAGGTCAGTTTCGGTCCTCCATACTGCAAGAAGCCTGATAATCACCCATTCATTCAAATCAGGTGTGTTTGAGCAGAGAAAAAAGTAAAACATGCAGGGCTGCGGCCCTCGAGGACCAGGATTGCCCACCCCTGCTTTATGTTATAGAGATATACACTGCCTGGCCAAAAGAAAAGTTACCACAAAATAGGTCACACACTCTTAATATTTTATTGGACCACCTTTAGGCATTGTTTGGATAAGCTCCATAGACCTGACCACCTGCAGCAGCCCCAGATCATAGCCCTGCYCCCACAGACCAGTACAGTAGACACTAGACATGATGGGTCCACTRTCCTTCCAGTTTTAATAATATGTTGGACAGATCTTAACTCAATTTTAGTAGTTTCTACAATCTCCTTAGATGTTTTCTCTGCTTGATGTCAATGATTTGACTCTTCTCAAACAGACAACAACAAACAACTCTTCTCCATGACCACAGGATGTGTTTAAGGGTTAATGGTTGTTTAAGAAATGAGAAGCAACTCATTGCACCAGTTGGGGTTAAATAACTTGTTGCTGAAAGATGCAGTAATTATCAAATAGGAGGCTCGTTCCTGTTTGCTTAGTTAAATCCAGGCAGTGTATCATTTAAACATATTTTGTTGTGTACTTTGAGTCTCTAGGAGTGGGCAGGTGAAGTGATCATTTGCATAGACAGCCTCAAAACGAGTTGATCTGAGACACATATCAGAAAAGGGCTAAAAGAGGGGCTTGTGGAGCTACAATAAGGAGGAATTCAGACCAAAGTTTTGCAGGTCCCCATCTGAAGGAGATAAATGTGAGGAAACATTTAAAAACGTGTGTCTCCTGTAAAATGCAGCTCATATTTTGCAGGTGTTGACGCTTTAGCTGTAATCTACTGAGCCCCTAAAGGGACATGGTTTGGGGGGAAAAATAAACTATCTCATTCCCACCTGTTACTAAGTTGTGCGTACAAGGTAAATCACAGAATATCTTTCAGATCATTTTGGACTAGCTGCGTTTATTGAAATGAAAATACGTGACATAATTGAGTTTTATTTCCAGTTTGGCCTGAAATACAAACACAGGGCTGCATTGCTTGTTCTCCGATCGATGCCGCAGCTTGGTGACAGTCTCGGAGCCTTTCCACCCACTGTTCCTGGATGTTTACGGTTTCCTTGACAACGGGGTAGTTTTACTAAAGCTATCCAGCTGAAAATAAATAAAATCCAGATTAAACATTTAGGAGTTCTAACGCCTAGGTTGGAAGGCACTTATCAACATGCCTGATATGAATTTAGGCGCAGTGAGTTTATCCTCCTCCGGGACACTAGGGATGGGTACCTTTGACATTTAAATCGATTCGGTACCAATATCCGGTACCTGGGAATCGATACTGGTACTTAACGGTACCAATTTTAGGTACTTTGCGTTCGGACTGTCGGGAAGCACCTGTTGTTTTCCTGCCGGTCTCTGTTTAATGGTGGATGAAATAAAGAAAGTGGCGGTACTTTATTTACTTTGAGCAAGCGAACGTCGTGCTCACAAGATAATTAATCCACCAGATTATTCAGAGGCGGTCTGTTCGGCGAGTTTTACTCCAGGAGCTGCGAGGCTCATACTTTCAAGCAGACTGAGCTCTGTTTACTGAACCAGCGGCTGCTGACATCATTAAGCTTTTGCGTGATGCTGCGTTCAGGACAAGCATGGAAAACTCAACACTCTTACGCCAAACCGGTCGCAATGATGCATTTAGGTACCGAAACATGGTACCGTTTGATGTTACGTGAATAGATACTCTGTAATACCGACAGAATTCGGTCTGTGCATAAAAAAGTATCGAATTCGGTACCCATCCCTACGGGGGACAGAGCTGAAGCGGTCGGCTCGCTGTCGTTTGATCGGGGAAAGCGCTCRRTCTGCWGCATTGAGATCCAGGCTGTAGCAACGAAGCTTCACAAGACAGCAGATTTGTGGCATCACACATGACATCACACTCATCAGCTTCATCTTTACGCACGGACTGCAGCCACTAAATATGGTGGCTGCAGTTTGCAACATTAYGCCTCCTTATTTTTGTCTCTACCTCCTTTGCAGAAGGACAAGAGAAGAGGGAAAACATGAAGGCAGAGATGCAGTCAGCTGTTAATCACAATGCGCCGCTGCCACAGTGTTAAAATATTGTTAAATAAAAACAGAAATAGAACGGGGATTTGATTTATGCACTAAAAAGTCTAATAATTAAAAAAAAACTCTTAAGGAAAATCTCAAGTTACGCACAGTGATTTTACATCTGCAGCACACTTRCGCTGCGCCACTGTTCAGCCACGCCTCATAGACACGCTCCAAAGCCTCCTGTCCTCCTTCACTGCGCTGTCACCTCCTGCAGATGCATTCAGTATGCATCTAGATAATCTGAGATGATGATCAGATGGGAATCTTCTATTTATTTTAGATTAAATAAGACACCGCCTCCTTTATGGAGACTTGCTCCATGCGTAAAGTTGAAGCTGATGAGTGTGATGTCATGTGTGATGCCACAGATCTGCTGTCTTGTGAAGCCTCGTTGCTACAGCCTGGATCTCAATGCAGCAGATCGAGCGCTTTCCCCGATCAAACGACAGTGAGCGGACCGCTTCAGCTCTGTGTCCCGGAGGAGAATCTACACTCACTGCGCCTAAATTTATATTATCAGGCATATTGATAAGTGCCTTCCAACCTGGTAGACCTCCTAAATGTTTAATCTGGATTTTATTTCGATCGACTCTTTTAAATGAAACCAGAGAGCGTTGACAGAGAGGAGAAGGTAGAAATGACTCAGCCTGGAACTGAAAATATAGATGGAGGACAACAGAGCTGCTTCATGGAAGAAGAACCTCAGCTTAGCCTCTTAGCTTTAGCATTAGCGCCGACGCTATATGTATTAGCTCAACGCAACACATTCTCCTCTCGTCACTGAGGTCCTCCATCCACATGACAGAGAGGGGAACGCTCCTGCAACTGAAAATATGGATGGAGGACCTCAGTTTAGCTTGTTTGTCGCGCTAGCACTGAGCTAATACATATAAGGCAATATAGCATCAGCGCTAGCACAAAGGCTAACAGGCTAAGCTGAGGTTCTTCTTCCATGAAGCAGCTCTGTTGTCCTCCATCCATATTTTCAGTTCCAGGCTGAGTCATTTCTACCTTCTCCTCTCTGTCAACGCTCTCTGGTTTCATTTAAAAGAGTCGATCATCAGATATTGTCCAACATTAACCTTCAGGGTGGATATAGCTCGCTCACATCGAGGACCTATCCACGTCATCATTTACCCAGAATGCTTTGCATGTAAATAAAATGGCTCAGTCCGTGTTAAAATATATTTTTAAAAATTTACAAAACTAAACTTCATCATCCTACAGTATTTTTACAGTCTTTATTTTACAGTTAAAATATATGTTTATCAAATAAAGTCTAATGTTACAACTWATCAGGGATCTGTAGAGTTAATGCTATCTGTAATCAGTGTAAATAAAATCAAAGGATTCCTGAAAACCGTCCCTGCAGTGGAAATGTGCCCACACTGTGCTGCAGTCATCGGTACTTTTCTTCCTAAAATGTCTTCACAGTAGATTTTTAAACTTCATTTTCTAGCAGCTGTCAGTTTATTTCGTGCTTCAGTTACTTTCCAGCTGTTTGCTGGGCTGACTCATTTTACCTGTAGATTGCACAAAAACCCTACGTGGAAGAAACCTTGCTTAATTGTGCTGCTACTTGTGTTACCATTCAGCACTTTAAAGCAGTGCTTCCCAAAGGTGGAGTCAGGACCTACAGTTTGGTCCTGAAACCTCTAGGTGAGGTCTTGAAAACATTTTCAGAATGAACTAGATTTAAAAATGACCACTAACATTTATTTTCTATTTTTTTAATAAAACGTAATGAAAATTATTTGACCTGAACCCAATGTTTATCAACCACAAACAGTTTGGGTCACAGATTCTGAAACTGTTATTGTGATGATCAGCAGCTGAACAGTTTGGGAAGCACTGCTTTTAATAATATGTAACATACTGTACCTGTTATTTATGAATCTGTTATTTATAAATCTATTTATTAAACTTTTGATTCTATTTATGAATCTGGTTATTTATGAATCTATTATTTATAAATCTGTTAATTTTATTTATGAATCTTATTTATGAACCTCTTATTCTATTTATGAATTTTATATCTTATGAATCTTATTTACTAATCTGTTATGATTCTATTGTTTATGAATCTATTATTTATAAATCTGTTAATTTTATTTATGAATCTTATTTATGAACCTCTTATTCTATTTATGAATTTTATATCTTATGAATCTTATTTACTAATCTGTTATGATTCTATTGTTTATGAATCTATTATTTATATCTGTTCTTTCTATAAAAATCCACAGCTTTACTAGTTTGCTGTGTTTGCAGAGAGAAGATGGCGTTTTTCACCAGACCCCGGGTCAACATACCTCCTCTACCAGCTGACGATGTATGAGGCTGCATCACACATGAAGTTTTGTTTTTGAGCTCCTGAAGTACAAAGTCCTGTCTGCTGCAGGAAACGTGACCTGCACATGAAGATCCAAATGCTTCCTTTTTCAGAGGCATTGGTGTGATTTTTGATTTTTTTTTTTTTTTACGAACATGAAGTCAGTTACTGACAACAGCCTGACTGGACAGTTTTTTTTTTAAATAAAAATTTACAGTAACCCATTAATTTTCTGTTGTATGAGTTACTTTTGTTTGTGCTTACAAAAGGCTGGAAGACGGGAACAAAAGTCAGTTTGGACACATTCATTGTACTGTAACTTATTTTATAGTACTTTTCCTTGAAGGAAATAAAACGCTTCCTGCTTCTTAAATGTATTTTGTTGCTTTGAACAAATAGCACTTCAGTGTTTTTAAATACAGTAAAATATTGTCTATTTTTTCTGTTACTTAAATCTTGACGTATTTACATCAAATGATTAATCCGCTCATGATTGTTTTTTGTTAATTATTTCATGTACTTTTCAATATTTGATAAATATATAAACGACTGTATTCGTTTCTCTCAATATTTGCAGTGAAGTTATTCTGAAGATTAATAATCTGCATCGGGACAGTTTTATCTGTCAGGTGTGGGGATGAACACTTCCTGTTCTGCACACACTTCCTTCAAACGTGTCAGTTTTATGTAATWTCTCTCAAACCACAGGCAGGTTTTGATGACCCCGTTTGTAAATTTGCTGATTCTTGAGAAGCCCTACCACGCGTCAGGGAGACGGCTGTGTCAGCGACTTATCTCCTGACGACTTCCTGTCGAAGAGTTTCAACATAGCTCACCAGAAGCTTCACATCCTCCCATCGACGAGCAGCTCGACTGGATTTGTGCCCGCCAAGCGGGAGGGCGTCGGCTCCCTTCAGAGCTCGTTTAGTTGTCGACTTCCCTGCAGGGAGATCAGGTTGCTGCTTGTCTCAGTATTTGGGAGCAGCAGTGAGGCTTTTTCAGAGGGAAATGAACAAGAGCTGAATTTAAAATGTGTCGAGACATTTGCAAGAACACAGTTCAGTCAGTAGTACAGGCCTGGAAGATCTGATCTGAAACGTCACAAGAACTAAGACCAAAGGTTTGTTAAAGCTGCTGCTTGGAACTTGTTAGGGCATCACCATGGTAACCACAGGCCTGCTGACACTCCCTGACAGCAGTGAGAAAGCAAGACTCACTGAACACAAATCAAAATTGTGTAAAAACAGATAAATGTATCAAAATGTGACTTGTTTCACCTTGAAATGTTTTTAATGTGAAACAAAGGAGCTGGGTCATCACTTTTATTAAAATCCCACAGTGCATGGAGATTTGTTAACGTTTGTCCCAGTTTTGTCTTCGTCTTTTTTCTTTTTTTTCTAAAGTGATGCTAATGGCAAAGAACCGTGTGAATGCTTAATACTGGAAGTTGTTTTTTTTCCTGAAAGCTGCTGCAGAAGTTGAAAATGTTTAACAATGTTTAAACAGTAGACCGTAGCAGAAACAAGTTGAAATTAGCAGATTGTGAGTGGAGAGAAAGAAAAAAGTTGACATAATAATTTTAAAGTACAAAGCAGTTTTTGCACAAAATTTGCACAAAGATGGAGAAAGAGCATGATTGCTGAATTAAGCAGTAAGAAGCTGAAATTAGCACAAAAGGGTGAATTCAGATTCAACTAGAGAACTTGCATTTCCTGAGAAAACGCAGTGCTTAATGCTGAACGATKTTTCTTTTAGTTGAAAACAGATCAACTCAGATAAAAACAGAAAACCGATTAAACAGAAGCATAAAAAGCTTTAATTAGCGGAAATAATGCACAAAATGTTTAAATAGGCAGAGGAATACAGTAGAAAAGCTCAAAATGGTAGCTAAAGCTAAAATCAGCTAAATGGAAGCTGAAGACTGAAATTAGCATAAAAAGGCAGAACAAGRACAAAGAAAATGTAAAGTTTATGTATATTTTGAAAGGTTTTAAGGATGTTGAAGACCTCTCCATTCATTCTTGATGTGGAAAAATTAGCAAAATAAGCTAATGATCTCTAAAAGTATAAATAGTTGAAGTACTASTCATAGCAGGTCTGTCCTGAAGGAGCTGAACTATTTGAAACAGCACAAAAATTGTGGAGTGACATGTATGCTGAAAAAAGTATGGAAGAAAAAATAATCTATGCTAACGCTAATGAAGCTTTCAAAAGAAAAGAGCTAAAGTGGCTAAAATGCGTTTAAAAGCTACAGTACCAGAAAGAAGCTGACAGAACCGTAAAAAAAGTTTACATTAGCAGAAGAGTAGCTGAAAGGCAAAGGTGAAAAGTTCAGTAAAGCTTCATAAACATTTTAAAGGGTTGTAAGAACGTTGAAGGTAATTAAACATTTTGAGTGAGAAAAAAAATTGCAGAAATAAGCTGAATAGTTAAAAAGAATTTGCTGAAATATCAAAAGTCACCATCARCAGCAAACATAGCACCAATCAAAATAGCACAAAAGTTGTGGAACTGGTTAGATGCTGAAAACGTACAGAAGTAAACTGGATCAACTGTGAATAATCAATATTTTAATAATCATAATTTTGATTTTTTTTTCTGCTTTATTTTCCATGCACGTTTGAAATAAACTAAATACTTACACATACTGACTGAATATAATGATGGTTAGGGATGCACCGATATGAAAATTTCAGCTGATATCAATTTTCAATATAATTAYTGTGTTATGGGCATTGATAACTGATATTTACCGATATTACACAAACACACAAATTATAYTATACAGGGCATATAAACACACAATGAAACTGAAACAGCTGTTATTTTAGTGTAGCTAAATTGGACCAGCCTGGTGACCAGTCTTCATTAATTGCACATTGCACCAGTAAGAGCAGAGTGTGAAGGTTCAATTAGCAGGGTAAGAACACAGTTCTGCTCAAAATACTGCAATGCACGCAACATCATGGGTGACATACCAGTGTTCAAACAGGATTAACTGTGGACTCAAGAGGAAGCTGTCTGAAAGGGATGTTATGGTCTAAAACCAGGTGTTTGTTTCATTGTCTAACCCCTGTACATATACGCACAGATACACTTGGGTCTTTTTTTGATACCGTAAATAAACAATCAGACGGCTGACATGGCTCCCTACTTCAGTTATTCCTGGCTACGCAACATCAATATCACTATCATGATGCCGCTCAACCAACCATCTCCCATCCTAAAACAGAAACACAAAGTTAAAAAGTGGGATATCAATATCAGACTTTAATATCGGCCCGGTTTTAAGTATCTGACCGATACCAATATTCTAAAAAAAAAAAAAAAAAGACTAATATCAGCCGATACCAATATTAATGCTGATATATCGTGCATCCCTAATGATGGTGCTTCCATCCTGATGGACTGACCCTCTTAATGACACTGTCATCTCAAAATACCAGTACTTGGCTTATTTAAATTACAAAACAAAGTGACAGTGATCTTGTTTTTGTTAATCAGTAAGATGAAGGAAAAAGTAACAAAAGAGGTTGACTGAAGAAAATCTTTGTTCGATCTAAACATGAATACTTGTCTTACAGAAACATTTTATAACCAATAAAACAGCAGTTCAGTGCAGTTTACAGCTGTTTAAAATCAATCAGCTCAGGAATTAAGATGAAATATGTCAAACTGTAAAATCTACATTCAGATTCATCACAAGTTTTAACTAACTAAACACACTCCTGGTAAAATGTGTAAAATCTCAGGTATGAAACGATCAAAATGTACAACTGATTGATGCACAACTGTTTTTAAACATAAAAGTCTAAAAGCACCGTTAAAACATCGTGTGCGTAGAGTTGAAATATAAAACTCTACAAAAATAAGATGAAAAACTAAAAACAGGTGAGTTTCTCTTCGAACTCCATCATCACATTTGCTACAACACTTTTCTGTGAGTTCTGATTAAAAGAGAAATTAAAAAGCGCATCCTGGGAAGAAAAGTCACTCATTAAAAAAATAATTAATAACTCAAAAATAAAGTGAACCCATTCCTGTTCACCTCGGCTGCAAGCCACAGCTCTCTGGGACGCTGCCTTCAGGTTTCAGGCCCACCTCTGACCTCAGGTCAGTTTTCCAGATAGGGATGGAGACGATGGTTGGAAGTTCACCGATGGGGGGTGGGTTGTATTTCTCCACCCTCATCAGCCGCCGCAGAATGTCGTCTCGATCTCGAGGCCAAGCGTAGACGTGAGTGTTCTGAAGCCAGTTAGGAACGTGACACTAAAACATGGGGGAGGGGTGATTATTGTTAACTGTACATTACACCACTGTTAAATGTATTTTACATGCTAAATGTATATTACACACCAGGGTTTCCCCTAGGATTTTATTTAACCGTGGTGGTGGGCTGTCTTTTTTTTTTTTTTGGGTGGGGAGGGGGTATTGACACAGACATTTAATTTAAAAAAACATGATTTATTTTATGCTAATCTGAATCAGTTTAGTGTATTTTGWAAATATATTTAACAGTTTTGTAGGAATGAATACAGGGGTGATTCTAGGATCTGACATTTAGGGGTGCTTAGCCCCCAACAGAGCTAAGACCCAACAGAAGGTATGAGTCAATGCAATTTTCTAAATCTCACTGCTTATTTATGTATATTCACATACAAAATAAAATAATTTTGACCAACAAAAACAGTTAACAACTGTATATTAACTTTAAAACAGAATGTCAGAAGCCTACATGAAACCTGCCAACATCAATGACACACATTAATATTAACAAACAGCTGTGCAGTGAACCAATCCTAGGGGGGTCCGGGGGCATGCTCCCCCAGAAGATTTTTAAAAAATCTACTCCAAACTATTCATTTGAAGAGCATTTTACTAAAATGATTGGATTAATAAAACAATCCAAATCCAGTTTATTATCAAGGTAAAATGGTGAAAGTTAGTCTTTAACCTGAACTGTATTTGAAAATCAGATTAAAAATTGCAGTATGTTTATTTTTACTTGAACGTTACATAGCATTAYGGGTCGGAGTTTTGCTGTTTCAGTAGGGCTGTGTATTGGCAAGAATTTGGCGATACGATACATATCATGACAAAGGGGTCAATGATACGATATATCCCAATATATTGCGATACTGTAAGCAAGGCGATATATTCCGATTTTTTGGTCCAAAAACTCTGTTAAATAAAAACCTCTTACATGGGGGGGAAAAAAAAAAGAAAAACCAAAATTCATTGTCTCAGAAAATTCTAATATTACAGAGACATGTTTTTGATACATTTAGCTGTGTTCTACTTTGTATGTATTTTATTTTATTTGATTCATATTTCTTATTTCATCCATGTTTTCAATTATCAGACTAAATTTGCCAATAAATAGGTTGAAAATATGTTTTTTGCAGCTTTAAGTTTTTAATATTAATTTACAATATGATCACCCAACACTTAATAATAGCCTCTACCTCAAGAGGTAGAGGAGCCAAATGGCTGGCTCACTGCTGCCAACTAGTGGTCAGAGGCTGAACTACAACATAAAAATGAACGGCTGGCAGGAAAGTTGACATTTTAAACCTTAATAAAAAAAAATCGATACAGGGCTTTAGAACATCGATACAGTATCGGGAAATGAAATATCGCGATATTTCAATGTATCGATACTTTCTTACACTCCTATGTTCATTATTCATGAAATTAGCCTATCATAAGCCGTGTTTCCATCAACATTTTTTAATGTGCATTTTGAAGTATCGCATCAGAAAAAGTGAATGGAAACGTCATGATTTGAAAAAACTTCCTCTAATTCGCATAAAAGTTGATACGCTCGCTTGAGGTGGGGTTTTTTTATTTTCAAAAAAGAGTTATTGCGCAAAAGGAAAGATGGAAACACATTTGTCGAATAAGTTCTGACGTAGCGAACATTTACCTCACGTTGATCAGCTGTTCTCTTTACTTCTTTTACTTCCTGTTTACTACACGCATGCGTCTGATGTAACTGATTTGCTTCAAGCCAGCTAATGGAAACACGTCTGATTTGCATTTATTCRTTCTTTYCTTTTTGCTAAATTTYAAAAATTCACTCAAAATTCGAATTAGATGGAAACAGTGCTAGTTACAGTACAAATCACCTTTCACAGGTAAAGAAACAGCCCAATAAATATAGTGGGCATAAAGTRGGCTAAGGCCGTCCTTTCCAGGCACAGTGTAAAAACATAATTTGGCCTAACTTTTAGGGAAAAATCAGCCTAAATGAAATTCTAATAGTTATCACTCTTAGCCCAGCTAAAGCAATATGATCAACATCCATCATGTTTATTAATAGCTTGAAATATATATTAAAAGTCCCACAGTGGGCTAGTAGGTGTACTGTAACGTTAACCAGGAGTAACTACAGTCCAGAGACAAACATGCAGTATTAAAGGAAGTATGGCTGCAGCAGCTTCATGAAAACAACAATATTCCTCCATAAAAAAAACTGTTTTCCTTCTAACATAACGATCTCTCCAATTTTTACTCTTCCTCTCATTATATTATTAAATTCATTCCAAACAACCCATACAGCTGAATTCATGTTCTGTTAGGGCTGGGTTTCTAATTTAATTCAATTATAATTCTTTGGGTCACAATTCAATTTCATTCAATATGTCTAAGAATTATTTAATATCGATTTCCTAATAATAAGTACACAAATAATTTATTAGTCTTTTAAATATTTGTTTTCTTGCTATTTAAACATACACTGTATTAGCTTCATTAACATTTTAGATAAATTTGACCAACGCTGAACAGCTGATGAGACCCATGTCTGTGATGCGTTCATGTCCAGAGAAACCTCGGAGTTTTGAGTGTTAGCCACACCGGATACATATTACTGCGTGACTGGCAAAGGTGTGCGCTCTACAAATACTTCTAGTTTCAAATTTATTCAATATTTTGGTGAATCTAGGGTTTGAGAACTAATGTTCCTTACAAAACAGTAATGATACTTTATTTGAGCACCCTTAAATTAGGGCTAGAATCGCCACCGAATGAACATATGTTTTTTCAAAATAAACCTGCTTCTTATTACTTCTTTAACATGTTTAAAAGAAAATAGTAAAAGGCCTCAAATGATGTCCTGTTTCTATAAATTGTCTTTGTAGCACTTCAGAAGAACTCCTAACTTGCAGATACAAAAGACAAAAAAGTTAAAAAATGCAACTATACAAAAAAAATCTTCCTTTCAATCACTGGAAATAATTTATTTACCACATTTTAAATCTGGGCCCTAAAGGGTTAATGCTCCTGAAAACGTCTGTCTGCTGAGGCTGGATGGTGTGTGACAGAGAGTGGGGAGGGATGTGGTCAGTCTGCAGAGCATTCTGCCTGGATTTATGGTGTTTTTTAGTTCACAAACAACTCTGGTTACTCTTTTAAAAGTTGAGGGATGTTATTAGTTCCGTTAGCTAGTAGCTGTGCTGCTGATCAGTGCTATTTTTAGAACAGGCACGGAGCTGCTGACTCCCGGTCACACGCGGATGATGTTGGTGATTCTTGCTGTATCAGAGTAGATAAGATAAACATGCTGTAGCTTCACCTGTCGTGTCTTCCTTGAAAGAAAAAAAAAAGGAACTCAAAGCTTTCGCATCAGACAGTTTTCATTGAGCGTCACATCACACACACACACACACACACACACACACATACGTCTTGCTATTGTGAGGACTACACATCTGTGGTGTTGGTTTTTCAAAATAAAGTGTATTTTAACTTTTCGTTGATGTTTAAATAGGGTTTCAAGGTCTGATTATGGTTGGTATAAGAGCACAAATATAGGATATAAATATATATGATATGGTTTACATTGTTTTAGCCTAATATAGGCCTATTATAAAAAAAAACAACTTTATTTTGAAAGTGCGGCGGCTATGATTTTTGCCGTGGCAGTGCGCCACGATCAATTATATATGTAGGGGAGATCCTGTACGCTAAGTGCATATTACACACTGACTGTATGTTACAGGCTGCCAAATGTATGTTACACATTAACTATGTTTCCATGCGCAAAATTCTTGGATCGGATTGCAATGTATTCGGATTACACAAATCTGAATGTATTGTTTTCATGCACACAATCCGATCATGATGAGTGTTTACATGCACCAGGCTTTTATACTGAATAGAAGCACTGACGTGCGCAGTTTCTAACTTTCCCTAAAAAAAACAAAACACAGAAAAAAGTTCTACTTTAGTCAAGAACATAAACATCTTCTGAGCTCAGAATGGACCTGCGACAGCTTTTAATAATTGTGGAGACGTTACTGCACTCTCTGGTTGAGCTGCAGGTGATGTGTGGACTTTTTTTTTTTTACGAAGCGGCGCAGGCTGTGTGTCTTCCTTCTTTATTGAATGAGAAAACAAGAGGAAAAGTTCTGTGCTGCAGGAAACTGCGCTGCTGTCCCTTCCTCCTCAAAATAGCAGAAAACACTGGATGAAAGTCAGCAGATGTGCACAGTCAGGTCAGTTTTCCACAATCAGAATAAAATGATCAGATTAAGTGTTTACACGCACGTCGTTCAGATTATCTATCGGCATAAACCACCTCTCTCATTTCGATTACAAATTCATTTGGATCGAGCCGAATCGGGTCAGAATAATCCGAATGGGGTGTTTACATAACGCATTTTATTCAGAATGACCGTTTAATCCGCTTACTTATGTCCATGTAAACGTAGCTAGTGTTAACTGTACATTACACACTGTTAACTGTATATTACATGTTGTTAGAGTTAATAAACAATTCCTCAGAGAAAAAAATAAGAAAAGAAAACACTTTTCATGAACTCTTTCTTACCTTTTTAGCCCCAGGAAACAGGATAGGAATGAACCTGAAGTTCTTGCTTCCATTCTGGATGAATTCACTCTGAAGCTGAGAAACAAGAACAAGAAGCTCAGAAACACGACCTTTGAACCCAGCTCCAGCAGATACTCAAGTGTCTGAAGATGCTGACCTGCTTGTGAATATAAACCGTGTTGAGGGTCCTGTCATCGTTCTCCAGCTCAAACGGGGAGGCCGTCACCGTCTCGTAGTACTTGGGACTGATGATGATGATGATCAAGTACTCTTTCTGAGAGAACGGAGGACATGGGTGCTTGTTAACAGCTCTGCTTTGCTCTGTTTCCCGATTCTTGTGTTCATTTTTTTAGACAAGTTTCGTCTTGCACAAAACCCAAAGAGCTCAGGGCGATGCAACAGTTTGCTGAAG